TTATGCCATTACCTATTAAATCAGTACAATAACAAAAACTACCCTTACAATATTACCGCACAATGACTAACAACTTTTATTGCTTAATTCGATCTTTCCAATAAAATGGTGATATGTAGACTTTAATTAAATTTAACGTCTTTAATCTGTCTTTTTTAAATATATATAAATATTTTTATTCAAAACACAAAACAAATGTAACAAATTATCACACACTCATTTATATACAATTTGCCTTTTTTCGTCTTTTTTTTATTAAAATTTTTGAATGAAAAAAAAAACAGTATTCATGAGAGGTTTCCTAAGTTTCCTTATTTCGTGTGATTAGGAAAAAATTATATAAGGAATATAAAAAATAAATTTCAAAAAAAAAGAAAGCTTATGAAACCTTCTAAAACTAGTACGAACACTTTAAGTTTATTTTGGTCATGACGCATGTATGTTGTGAAAGGCGAATATTATTAAAAAATGAGACTATCATATCAAAAATTATGCATTATTTTGTTCTCTCGCTATTTTTTTTTTGTAAAATTGGAGGGAATTATAATTAGGAAAATCGAAATGCATAAAAATACTGAGGAGAAAAGGACTAGGTTGAAAGTGGGCCCCAGAACAGTTCAATAAGTATACTATAATAATTGTTTTAATGATATTTACACTTATTCTAATAATTTATAACATAATAGCAGTTAAACACATGGCATTTTTGCCAATTTTTTGTATTCTCCCATTATTAACTACATTTCATATTAACTACACCGTACCAATTTTTTTTAAATTATGGATACTTATACATGTAATAAGAAAAAAACACATTTCAAAATTTGAGTGGTACCATCATCCGTTCAATATAAAATATCTTTCACAACTATGGGTAAATACAAAAAAAATTAGAAAAACCGAAAATGGTCTAATATAACCACCAAACATAAATATTGTGTTTAACTGTAGGACTGATCTTAAATGTTATGAATCATTAGAATGTGTGAGAAACAACAGTTAGCAATGTATAGCTAATCGCTTGCCAGCATCGCGAGAGAATTACAATGTAGTTGTCTTTCCACTACCATTTTTCTGGATTTCCGTGTTAATGGAAAAAATTGAGCCCTTACAGTTAAGCTGCCTTGTTTTGTCCGTTTCTGAAACCTCTCGTACCTATGTATATAAATCAAGTTATACCTTTTATGTGCGGATGCTTACCCAACGTCGTGATCTAGCAGTCTCAACTAAAACCGACTCAATTTCACCTCTGTCTACTCTGGTCGAAGGTTTTCTGTAGCTTCGTTTAACTATTTAGACAAATACTGAGGCAGCAGTCCCATGATTCCTAAAAGGAGGCTGAAGAGAAACTTCTGCCTTGCATTAGACTGTACATCAGGTGGACTGCTGGTAAGAATGAAACATCCAAATATCTTAAGATACTTTAAACAGGGAACTTATTTCATAATCACACAAGGGATGATGAAATTTTTCAGCGCACCCCAGTGTAAGAATACATACAAAAATCAGCCAAGATTACAGGACAGGAATAAAAAAAAAAAACAAAAAACAGTTGTTCTATCTCTTATTTAAAAAGTTAGTTCTCATCTCAGGATATAAGCTTATTTTGCACCACCACCTGTTTACAGATTACCGAAATAAAAAAGGCCTAATTTGCATTTTCCGATTCCACTGAGTAAATATATATATATATATATATATATGTACGCATATAAAATTTCGATATTTTTTCATTTGTCGGCTTATAATTATTGGGTACCTATGTCAATTTAATATTCAAATTGAGAATGTCTCATTAAGATGACCTGCTTCAGATGAAAATTTTTGTTTTCTTTTCCTTTAAATTTCCTTGTAGGNTATATATGTACGCATATAAAATTTCGATATTTTTTCATTTGTCGGCTTATAATCATTGGGTACCTATGTCAATTTAATATTCAAATTGAGAATGTCTCATTAAGATGACCTGCTTCAGATGAAAATTTTTGTTTTCTTTTCCTTTAAATTTCCTTGTAGGTACGTGCCTAAAAACAAATTTCTCATATTTTGTGCTCTTAATTCCAATTTTAAGAACTTCCTTTTTGTTTTAATTTAATTATCGCTCACTAGAAACATTTGAAATGTGATGTTACAGGATGATGATGAAAACACCATACATAGAACATGTTGGAAATTAGGATATATTGAAAAGACTAGGAGAGCAAAGGACGCTGTAAGTGTCAATAGGGAAAAACAGATCACTTTCTGGAACATGAAGGACTACACAGAGGTATACCAGAAGCGAAAACAAAACTATAGGAAGGCAAGGGAGGGTCTAAATTAGATTACAGTGTGTAAATAGTAAATGATACGTGATGTTATAGTTTTCGGAAAATGGGAAGATCAACTTAGCATACAAAAATAGGGAAATACATGTTCTACAAGTCTCCAAACTAACGACCCTGTGATGATAAAATTTACCTACTTAATGAAAAACTAAAAATGATTGAAAGTTTTTAAAATAGTAATAAAGAACAGAAAATTTGAGAAAATCTTTTTCCAAAATGCACAAGGAACTTCTACAATGGGAAAAGACAACAAGAATGTTCCTCTGAAATAAGTCACGGTAATGCTGCATGCGCTTATACATTGAATACATCAGCATTCAGAGCAATAGGTATTTTACAGCGAAAAAGTGGAGTTTTATGTTACATAAATTATCTACATTAATACTTATATACACATTATATCACCTATCATGGAAGATATTACATTGTGTATTATTTACATTTACAATTTTAAACATTAGGAGATGGATGACATCGGCATTTTTGTATAACTACATAATTCTATTGTAAATTCTGTAAATTTTTAAAAATATATCACGCTATTTATGTCTATGTTATACATTTTCTCATTGAATTACAAAAGTTAATATACTGGGAACAAAAAAATGGAAAAAGAAAGTATTTTTGGCACCCCCTGAACGCAATCTCTACAAAGAACATTCGATAAACAATTCACTCAAAAGGAAAAAATAAAAACTAATTATGAGATTCTCTTATCAATTTACTACTTCTAAAATACTGTGGATTTTTACGCCTTTTTCACATCTACTATTTATGCCATTACCTATTAAATCAGTACAATAACAAAAACTACCCTTACAATATTACCGCACAATGACTAACAACTTTTATTGCTTAATTCGATCTTTCCAATAAAATGGTGATATGTAGACTTTAATTAAATTTAACGTCTTTANTTTTTATTCAAAACACAAAACAAATGTAACAAATTATCACACACTCATTTATATACAATTTGCCTTTTTTCGTCTTTTTTTTATTAAAATTTTTGAATGAAAAAAAAAACAGTATTCATGAGAGGTTTCCTAAGTTTCCTTATTTCGTGTGATTAGGAAAAAATTATATAAGGAATATAAAAAATAAATTTCAAAAAAAAAGAAAGCTTATGAAACCTTCTAAAACTAGTACGAACACTTTAAGTTTATTTTGGTCATGACGCATGTATGTTGTGAAAGGCGAATATTATTAAAAAATGAGACTATCATATCAAAAATTATGCATTATTTTGTTCTCTCGCTATTTTTTTTTTGTAAAATTGGAGGGAATTATAATTAGGGAAATCGAAATGCATAAAAATACTGAGGAGAAAAGGACTAGGTTGAAAGTGGGCCCCAGAACAGTTCAATAAGTATACTATAATAATTGTTTTAATGATATTTACACTTATTCTAATAATTTATAACATAATAGCAGTTAAACACATGGCATTTTTGCCAATTTTTTGTATTCTCCCATTATTAACTACATTTCATATTAACTACACCGTACCAATTTTTTTTAAATTATGGATACTTATACATGTAATAAGAAAAAAACACATTTCAAAATTTGAGTGGTACCATCATCCGTTCAATATAAAATATCTTTCACAACTATGGGTAAATACAAAAAAAATTAGAAAAACCGAAAATGGTCTAATATAACCACCAAACATAAATATTGTGTTTAACTGTAGGACTGATCTTAAATGTTATGAATCATTAGAATGTGTGAGAAACAATTAAAAAATTACTTAATAAGAAAATTTTTTAGAAACAATTATTATTATTTTAACATTGTTATTGCTCCTAGTCCCTTTCAACGTTTAAAATTAATTTTATTTTCTCGGTACAAATTATTTCGTTACTTTTATCAATGAACTGAAATTATATTCATATATGAAGTTCATTTTATGGTGTTTTAATAAACCTAAAGGCTTATTTAAATAGTTTCTATCCGAACAGAAAAGAATCAGCTGCCATAAATTTGGAAATAAATATTGTTATTAAGTAATCTATCTATTTTCTTAACAACTTAAATGGATAAATAGGACGAAATGTTTAAAAATTATCCTGTAGAAGTGATTGTCATTTTGATTTCGTAGATGATGAAACGTTAATTAATCCGTTTTTCATTTTATAAATAGTTTAACAAATGAATGTGCTCTTGAACCAAATTGCACTAACTTGACTAGCTAACCGTTAAATAGTAATAGTTTTCTCTCCTTAATTCGTTTTCATTAATATTTTCATTTTCAGCAGCAGTGTTTCACTAAAAAAGTTACTTTTTCGGCAAACTCACCCACGTGATCGTTTCAGTATTCGTTTTCGTCCAACGCGCGGAAAAACCGACGAAACGGGTTCACTTTCGATTATTAATAACGTAATGAGTAAATATTTCTAAATTTTACTTTAACTTAACGTATGTTCGATTTTCTCTTGTTTGAAAACTGAAGATGAATCCCTAGCTGTCCACCGCAACGTCGTTCTCTTTATTTGCTTGCCACTTGAACTTGCTTTTCATGATCCACTGTTGACCGCGGGACAAATCACAGGGTCGTAGAAGAGGTAAACTCATATCGGATTTGTCAGGCTTTTGCAGACAACTCCCTGTATTTACATGCTTAATCGTTCGTTCCTATAAAAGAAGAAATTGAAAGGTTGAAACAGCGATCAATAAATAAAAAATCCACACAGTTTGAAGGTTGTAACTTTCAGAATATGTGTATTTTTTTTTTGGCATTCAGTAATATTGAAAATTTTAGAAGCATTAAATGATTACAGACAAACTTTATTTTAATTTTCAAAAAATTATCAAGACTGATAAAATAATAAGCCAAAAAATATATTTCAACTAACGTCTTCATCATAAACCCAAGCCTGATTGCCTCCCATTCCGTGACAGCGGACCAACTTGACAGGACCGTATTTTTGCGATGCATCCAAACAATTATCATCGGACATAATTTGCTGACGTCTGGTATAGGCAAAGATCTGATTGCCTCCCATATTATGGCAGTAATTGAGGCCCAGGTTTTCACCGGATTTGCGGCCCATCGTATCCAAACACGTTTGTGTCACCACGTTACGAATCTAAGGAAAAAAATTGTTATATTGAGAACTACCACATCGCCAAATTACTTACGAAGAAGCACATAAATAAATCTGTTTCTCTCAATAAACAAATTAAAATATTATATATAAAAGAAATTATGAGTGCTGTCAGCACAGGGCAAAGTAGTATTACGTCTTCTAAAATACTGT